CCCTGGGTTGGGACCCCCTTCACCCAAATGCCCCTGAGCATTGCTGGAATCATCCAAACCCAGCACTCAGCCCCAGCTCCTGCCCACCACGGGTGATGGTGCTGCATGGGGGGGGGGGCAGCGTGGGGGCTGCTGCACCGCCGGGCGCTCGGAATGACCTGGGGCAGGGGAAAAAATGCAAACCCGCAGCCCCAGGCCGGGTGTACACACCCCGCGCAGGCTGTTGCCACACTTTCTGACCGGATGTCAGAAATACCCCATGAAATGAGATGCAGCGCGTCCTACAGACCAGGAGCACAGCGGTTCTCAGCGCCCGACGCTGGTTTTCATCCACCACTAACAAGTGCACACTAACTGAGAGAGCTTGGTGCCGAGCCAGGCTCTTCTTCATGCTTCTTGGTCAGGATTTCAGCACTTCAGCCTCTTCCACTCCGGTGGGTGCCCAGGGAGCACCCGGAACCGGCAGCACCTTGGGCTGCGGCACCACTGCCACTGCTCGGTGCTGAGCCAGCCCCCAGTGTTAAACGTGCCTCTGCTGAAACAGCCAGCGAGCACTGGAGTGGCTTTGCTGCGGGGGCAGGCATCGCTGCTCCCGGCTGCTTGGCAATAGGTGGGTGCGGGAAGAGGAGGGTACAGGAAGAGGAGGGAAGGGACGAGCAAAGCCTGTCCAAAGCGGCCTGGGCTCTGTGCCCTGACGCTGCATGAAGGCATGACCCTGGGCAGGTCCACCTGGATTTGCCAAACCTGCACACAAACACCGAGATAGACTCCACGCTCAAGTGAGCACCAGGGGAAGCTTTTCTTTCGTGCACTGATGGCAAGACGCGGTGCCTGACCTGCGGTGAGCGTGCTATCAGCAGGACACAGAAGTCTATTTTTAGCCTTACCAAGACAAGCAGCTTGGCTGAGACTTGCCCACTCAGAGGTGGTCAGCTTGTCACCGCAGGAGTTTTACGCCATGACACTGCACCCTACTAATGCTAACAATAAGATACACAGTTTGTTTTATATAAAGTGTGGCTTAGGGCTCTTAAAAACCAGCTTGTACTTGAGAGGAAGGTAGAAAGCAGCAACTTCCACTGCTGACCTTTTCCTGGACCAGAGGTATGCGTTTAGAAGAGAAAAACGAGATGTAGGTGGAAAAGGCAATTAGCAACACTGCTTTACAGAAGGGTTTGTTTTCTTTTCCTTAAACAGCGTTTTGCAATGCCCCTGAAGAGTGCCATGGCCGGGAGGCAGCCACAGCTGTGCCAGCCCAGCTGTGAAGCTGCTCCCAGGGCTGCGTGCCCAGCCCGGCCCTATGCAGCACACTGCGCTCCCCACGGTGAGTATAGCCCCAAATACCATGTGCTCTGTATACAGCCAGGGCTGGATAACCAGCACATTCAGGCAAGGATGGCTTGGGATTAATAACAGCACCGAAGGAAGAGCAGAGAAAAAAACAGTTCCCTTATAACTGGATGTTTTCTCCAGTGCAGATGCTGCTCTCCAGCACGAGCATCCCACCTCCTTCCTGGCCAAGCCCATCCGGGCATCTCACCAGCACCCCACTGCTCAGGCGCCCGCGCTCAGCCCTGCAGTTTCGTTCCCGTTCCCCCAGGCTGGGGGATGGGGTGGGCTCGCTCTCCCGAGCACTCAGATACATCCCTCATCCTCGGGAAGTGCCACAAGTGCCTCCCACCACTGCAGTACCTTGTTGCTGAGGGCATGCGAGAACAGTCAATGCGGTTTTGCTCTCTCCACCCCCAAAGCCAAGAGTCTGCACTGTGCCCATGGCACCCCCATCCCACCCCTCACAGGGTGGCTGCCAGGGAGGGACCCCACTCCTGTCGCCCCAAGGGGGACTGAACATGCAGTGCTGTGCCACGTGCTGTTTGCCCTCAGAAGAGCACAACCTGTCTTTTCCCATCCCATAATTGTCACTCTTCTCTTGCCATTATTTAATTGAATGTTTTCCTGTTGGTGCCAGGTAATTGCCAATATATGCCACAACAAGCTTGCTAAATTCCTGTGATGGGTAGAAGATTCCAAAGTGGCTATTTTTAGGTACCGAGAATGTGATGAATGCTGTTCGGCTGTACCCCTGGTGCACTTTCAGGGTGCTTAGGAGTAATTGCACTTTTATTTCCAGTGCATTCTTGAAATATTGTGATTCATTTCCTCCTGTGGTTTATTAGCACAGGGATAATGCACCTTCTAACGTCTTCACCAACTCCATGAAAAACAGCACACTGACTTCTTACCTGCTTTCAGTTTGTTCCTTGAGTCTATATAAACAAGAAAGACTTTTCCACTGCCCCCCAGCCCTGGGGGCTGCAGGCAGCTGGCACCCAGCACAGGGCACCCTGCTACAAACACTGCAGTGCTCGGGTTTCCTCTGGCACACAGCACAGCTCCTTCACCAGACAGAGTTTTTGCAGAAGCACCACAAAGCACCATCAGGTACCGTTGCTCTCACCAGCCATCTTTTTCTCTTTCTCCGCCGCCCCCCCCACCCCCCCCCCCCCCCGCCCCTCGCAAGACTTCCCTGCATCACCAGCCAGCAATGTGCAATGAGAAATACCAGTTAGAGCAGCTGCACGTGAGCTGCCCTGTGGCCTTTCAGCCGTGCCTTTCCAACACCCGACAACTCTGCACAGCAATAAACTGGAAAGCATTTTGAGGGGGGTGCACCCCCATGGAAGGGCCCCACCGCCTTGGGAAGGTCAGCTACAGGAGGTCCATCCCCCTCTTAACTCCTTAAAAGCAGCATCAAGGGTCCGTTACCATCCCGCACTTCAATCACCCACTCTCAGAACCGTGACAGAGGCATAAACCCAAAGGGAATCCCACAGCACTGCAGCCTCGCCGCTGCTCTGCACCCTTAGCCAGAAACCAGGTGAGTTGGGCTTGACCTTGGCCAGGCTGACCCTGAGCCAGCTCTGCGCAAGCACCAGGGCAAAGTCTCCCTCAGTGCTGGTGTCCTCCTGAAACTGTAAACGGGCAGCCTCCTGGAGGATCTCCCCCCAGGGACCCCAAGCCATGCTCACCCCAGCCACCAGCAGCAACCACCTCCTACCTGCACACCCAGAAGCCCCCAGCTCCCCCCTGCAGCCACAGCTCCCTCCAGCCCTTTACCCCCACCCGTCCCCCCAGGGCCGCTCAGCACCACTGCGGGCACCTGTGCAATTCTCCAGACTTGCATTCCCTGCGGCTCGGAGGCCACAGGAGGTGATGCTGTGACAGGTCGCTGCATCCCACGGCACAGCGCGGTGGCACGGTGGGTGTGCAGGCTGGCCATGCTGCTCTCCCCAGCCCCATGTCTTGCTGCGTGTCCCTGGGCACTGCCAGAGGGCAGAGCCGTGCCCGACCCAGCACCTCTCCCCAGTGCCAAGGCTGCGCTGGCAGCCAGCGTGAGGCACCGAGGCGTCGCGTGATGCCACTGCCGGGACCACAGCAAGTGGCGTGATCAGCTCTGTTTGGGCAGGAAATAGGCTTTTTTTATTACAGCTAGCACCTGGATGCAAAAAGACCCTCAGAATTATTCTGCTTCCTTCTTCCTGAAGCCATTCCCTGTTCTCATCACAAATCACACAAAGGCAATGAAAACTCCTTTTCAGGTTCCCGCTCCTCCTTCCCCAAAGGCCGAGAATCCTTTCCTCATTTCAGAAAGCATCTCAGCTGCAGACACACGCGGATCCCTTTGAACAAAATTCTTTTATTTGGTTTTTACAACTGTTAGAGCTGTCGCTGCTCCTGCGGTCGGCACCCTCCCGGCCCCGGCTGGCGAGGTGCCG